AATTCCACGAAAAATATAAAAAAATATCAGTTTTAGATAGCTACTACTATGAACTTCGATTAGTGGCGTAGCGTTAGTATAAAAGCTTGAAATATTAGTTTAATTTCTTTGGTGTTACAGAAATTAAATTATAAAAATAATTTTTTCTGTGTGCTATCCAAATAAGTAATGTATGTTTTCCCCATATTATTATTATTATTATTATTATTTTCAAAATGCTTGTTAGAACACGATGAATTTTTTCAAAAATTACAGTTAGAACTTGATTTATATGATAATCCCAATAACTGATTTACAAAATAAAATAATCTGATTTTAGAAGACGTACTTATGTTATGCATAATCATATACGGCAGAAGCAATATTAACACATTAAAGACTATAACTACATTAAAGAAAACTGGTTTAAAGTTTAATTAATTTATTTATTATTAGCGCAAAAGAAAGGGTGGTTAGTTGCCAATGGGATATATCTCAAAATGGCATTTTGCGTCGAATCACTTTAAATGTCCGAATTCCTTTCCAAATTGCTACCACCAAATATTGTCGCCTTGTATTATATTAAAAAGATAAATAATGAAGAATATGCGTGACGGTAAGTATGTTTCTCACACTCTGAAAAAACAACGGTACTTAGAGTCATCCAATTTTGAATAACGTGGTCCTCCTCCCGAAAATGGGCACGCGGAAGCCGGAATTTTAAATCTCGAATTTGTTTTATTATCTATTTCAGACTCTGTAAAACTTTAATGAATTTTTAATTGACAAACTTAATGATTTCAAAGCGAGCAGTGGCAACACGTACGGAAAAAATATTTTTATCTTCAGCGAAATTTTTCAATATTTTCTACTGTTGAATTGAATTTTATGTGGCGTGAGGGCCAAGAAGGTGAAATTAAATAAATAAAGTAAACACACAAAATGTTAACGACGAAAAGACAAAAAAAAAAAAAAAAAAAAAAAAAAAATGTTTTGTAAAGCCATGTTAGTAAGAAAACTTAACATTAATATGATGAACTGAGAAATGAATGGAATATATATATTCGTGATAACATTTAACACTACATTGGGAATTCTATGCGGCATTTATATTTTTTCAAGTTTCGCTGTTGGATTTTATATGGCGAAGAAGATAATGCGTAATAAATAAGCAAAAAGGCAACAAAAATAAAATGGATTAGTAGGAGTAAGTGTAACAGCAGAATGGTAGACTGCGAGCTCAGAGAGAGCGTAAACAACAATAACAAACCCTTTTTGTCAAAAATTAAAATCTTTCAATTTTTTTTAATTACTATTAGTCCAAAGGGGCTTTGTCCCTGAAGGATTATTGTTTTCGTTTTGCGATTTTGCGTTGAATCACTATAAATGTCCGTTTCCCTTTTCAAACTGTTGCCACCCAATGTTAGAGTTCTGCATTATATTTGAAGAAATTAAATAATGAAAAATCTGCATAAATGATTAAATATTTCTCCCATCGTGATAAAACAACGGTACATATAGAGCCATCGAATTTTGAATGACGTAATCCTCCTACGAATATGAGCATGTGGAAGCCCAAATTTGAAATTTGGAATTTGTTTATGATCGATTTCATATTTTGTAAAACTTTTTGAAACGAATCTTTGAGTAACAAACTCAACGATTTGAGAGCGAGCAATGGCAACAATCTACAGGGGGGGGGAGGAATCTTTTTATCTCCAACTCGCGGAATTGTATATCGGAAATTCTAAAGATAGGCTCATTTTAAAATTATTTTGCGACATTGCTATTGAACTGAAATTTGTGGTTTAAGTGCGAAGAACATGATATTTAATAAATAAAGGTAACACACAAAACGTTAAAAAGACGCTCCTTTGGACGTAATTTAAAATCTGAAACCTTTCAAATTTTATTTATTTATTTATTTAATTATTTATTTATTGGTTTTATGAAAATTATTTCAGTTACTCAAAGCTCTGAAATTCTGTTACGTGTTTTTCAAATTTCGCTTGTTACCAATTTTGCGGATATTTTTTTTTTTTTATTCATAAAGTAAATGTACTTTTCGCTTAGCCTAACGCAACGCCACTGTTCTATTTAGTTCAGAAAACGGATAATTAAAGCAAGGTAAACTCTGGGGTGAAGTTCAATTTTATCTACTCTATATACTACTAATTCTATGCTAAAAGCCGCACGAAGTTTACCACAAGAAAAAAGCATCTGGAAAGGAATTTTTGAGGGAAACTACTAGGAACATACTTAAGGAAAATGCAGTTAATAGAATATATTATTTTTACTATGATATAGCCTAGAAAAATATCTAAATTCTAGAAAGGAAAATTTCTGAACTAGATCTATTTGGAAATAAATACTAGCTGTGATGTCGTCCTGTCAAAGAAAAAAAGGCTTGAAATTAGTGCATAATACATAGAATATAGCTACAACCTATTTTAGAATTAAAATTAATGATATATATTAATTTACTTTCGTAGTAAATAAATTAATAGAATTTGTCATCAAATCTTCTCTTAACATATGTTTACGATTATATCAAAATACATTCATGTCCATAAATTAAGGATAATGCAAAATCAGGCAAAGGAAGAGTTAGAAGCAAAGCAAATTTGACTTATTTGTAAAGCTTATTTATTAAACAAAAGGTAAAGAACAAAAAAAGATGCTTTATGTTTGATATTACTAAAAAAATTAGCGATTTTTTCTCCCTGGAGCAAATTACAAAATAAAAACCTATTTACAAAAAACCAATATTACATGGTTGATATGATTGTTAATACATTGTATGTCTCCCAGACGATGCAATACAGTCCGTACAAAGCCTAGGCGTGCTGAGTATCAAATTATTGATCTGATCTTGTGGGATATTACACCACTCAAAACGCAATGCTCTACGAAGTTCCGGTAGACATGTTCCGGTAAGAGGAGCTTGACGGGCTGCAACTCGTCGGCCAAGCATGTCCCACACGTGCTCTACTGGATTCAAGTCCGGTGAGAATGCTGACCAGTCCATACGGGTGATATTCTCCGATTGAAGGCATTCGCTTACGATGTTTGCACGGTGAGGACGGGTGTTCTCATCCATAAACACAAATTGTGCGCCCTTGGCGCCCCGAAAGAAATGTACATGTTGTTCCAGAATGACGTCCCGATAGATTTGGCTTGTCATGGTTTCAAGTTGAACATGCAGGTCAGTTCTGAAACCCACAATAATTCCACCGCAAACTCGTTTGGGGTGGATTGCACCACCGTAACGGTGTCCACCGTAACTCCTGCACCACCACAACGGTGTCGTTCAATGATGTTTTCTTGGTGGTAACGGGTACCTGGAGCTCTCCATATGAAAGTCCGGCGAGAATCAGACTGGAAGCTAAACCTGGACTCGTCGGAAAACATCACACAAGACCACTGTTGCGGTGTCCACAATGCATGCTTTCTACTCCAGGCTAATTGCAGGCGAAAGTGAGTTGCAGTAAGTGGAACGCATCTGACAGGTCTACGAGCATATAGACCAATCTGCCCTAAGCGTCTGTACACGGTCTGCATTGAAATTGTCGTACCAATGGCTGAAGAGAGCTGACGAGACAGGTCTGAGGCTGTGCTCCGCCTGTTTCTTTTAGCAGTAACTGCCAAATACCGGTCCTCATTCGGCGTTTTGTCTCTGGGGCGACCTGTACTGTAACGTCTACTCCCATTACCATCATCTTGGAATAGTTGCCAACGCCTGGGGACGACACTCTGGGCAATTCCAAGTTCGTCTGATACTTCCAGTTGGGTACGCCCACATTCCAGACGGCCGATAATTCTACCTCGTAAAAAATCATCCAAATGCGTCTTTTGTGTCATAACTATTCGGTTATTTCACTGAAATGCTTATAAAGCGCCTGCGAACAATTTTACTTCTTTGCCTGTATTCCTTATATATCACGCTCTTACACTCTCGTCATTGTGACGTACCATCGGTGTCATCTGGGTACTTCCTGAAATTTGCATATGATTCTTGAAGATGTGTGTTGTGATTTTACAGGTGATATATTTATTTTAGATTTCGATTTCCGCGTGACTCGGAATTATCCTTAATTTATGGACATGAGTGTAATTTCGTAATTATATGTATAAAACATCATGTATATCTGATTCAAATATTATGATTTAAAAATTTTAGAAATTATGTAGCATAGATATATGGTTTTATAATTTAAGGATATGAAACAACATTATTATACCCAAATATTTCTTTTTATGCAAACTTAGCATCTATGTACCTAAATATTTAAAAATTATTTAGCAGACTTTAGATAATAGATAAAGTTAAATAATATGAAATTGAAATATTATAAAATAATATTTAAAACAGTGCATATAAATAAAATATTGATTAAATCATGCAAAATACATTTCTCACTGGAAAATGTCGTTCTTTCTATTTGGAGTTTAGGTTAGAATCCAGTTTGACATTTCTTTTTTCATATAACAAAAACTAGGCACAAAAATTCAGCATTGTTTTTATTAAAATTGATTCAGTTTTTCATTTATCTAGACGTATCATAATTAGGACAATTAAATTGAAAGATTTAATTGAATTTGAAAACTCGTAGCTAGCAGTTACATTTTCCTAAATGCCACATGAAATGAAAATAATATCGTAATTAAATGCAAGACTCTCTTTTTAAAATAAAAGAGTTCATATAATTTAAAACTGTTCATATAATTTATAATTGATTAATGAACATTATTTAATTAGAGGATTACAGCTATAATATGTTAAAACTAAAAACTAATTTTATGCCCTTAAGTAAGAGTAGTTTAAAATATAATTCACATGAATATATATATATATAATTGGTCTTTCAGTATTGTACTTACTACCTAGCTTGTTAATTTTATACATTTAAAGTAATTATTCAGCATAAATTTATACATTGTAGTACATTAAGATATATACTATAAGCTAGTTTTCTAACGCATAGATACAATGATTAAATAAGGTTTATACCCTTATTTACCTTTCTCATCTTGTTATTAATCCTAGCTTTTTGTTCTCTTTCATAAATACTTTCTCCTTCTGCACTACGTATGCTCGCTCGTTCTTTTGCATCTTTCTCTTCGTTTCCTTTTTCTTGTCCGACAAACAGCTCATAAGAAGAACATGAAAGATCAGAAGGGCTTTTCACGACGCCTTCACCTCTCTTTACTCTTTCTCGTTCTTCTTCTGCTTCAAGCTGGTGAAAATTAGTAAGAAATCACATATTAAATCTCTGTTAATATGCGGAAAGTATTAAAATAATAAATAACATGGAGAGAACAGGGGTCGCAATGTCCACTGATCAAATATCTAAATTCTAAATTTTAGATATTTGAGTAACAAACATTCATAATGAATAACTTCAGAGAAAATTCTGATTTTAACAATTGTCTGAATTGTTTTGTTAAACGTTTGACAAAAACTGAGTTTTAGTAATATTTAAACAGCACAACATAACAAGATGAACCAATCTTTAGTCCAAAAGGGGCTTTGTCCCTGAAGGAATATTGTTTTCATTTTGCGATTTTGCTTTGAAACACTATAAATGTCCGTTTCACTTTTCAAACTGTTGCCACCAAATGTTAGAGTCCTGCATTATATTTGAAGAAATTAAGTAATGAAAAATATTGCATAAATGTATATATATTTCTTGCATTGTGATGAAACAACGGTACATAGAGCCATCGAATTTTGAATGACGTAATCCTCCTATGAATATGGGCATGTGGAAGACCAAATTTGAAATTTAGAATTTGTTTTATTATCGGTTTCATGTTTTGTAAAATTTTAACAAATTTTTGAGTAACATTTGCAACACTCTACGGGGGAAGGACCTTTTTATCCGGGCGCGGAACTATGTATCGGAAATTCTAAAGATACACCCATTTTAAAATTAATTTGCGACATTGCTGCTGAATTAAGTTTTATGGTTTAAGTGAAAAAGAACATGACATATAACTAAAATAGGTAACACACAAAACTTTAAAAAACGCCCCTTTGGACGTAATTTAAAATCTGAAACCTTTGAGATTTTTTTTATTAATTATTATTATTATTATAGCCTTCTCGTGCTGCCCACCGAACTCCTGCATTTCTGAAATATGCTTTCCTAATAAAAAAAAAGTTTGCTGACCCCTGACAAAGAGTATTTATCTATCTATCATATACTATTTTTCTCTAAAGCAAAATTAAATTTGTGATTTGGAAATAACTGCTGTTTATATATTACTTTGTCAAAAAGTAATCACATATGCAATATTTATTTACAATACTTACTTTCGTGAAACAATAGTTTAACATTCTAACTACTCAACCGAAATCGCTTCAGAAATTGTATATTTTTTTTGCATATTTTAAATCTATATATATTGTAGTATTGAAAAATGCATTTTTCCTTTCTAGAAAATACTTTTATATAGATTTTTATCATGAGAAATTAAGTTGCCAGAAAAAAAAAAATTCAGATGTTATCTCCGCCCCCCAAAAAATTTTTTAAAAATAAATTTCAGTCGAAATACAGTTAATTTATATTTATTGCATAATATAAAAAAGTAAAATATATAAAATTTAAGAAAATATAAAGCACTGAGGAAAAGGTATCTTAGAAATACAGTTTATTATGACAGAGTTTAAAACAGGGTTCAAGGCGAAGTCCAACTTGACAGTCTTTGCACCAAATTCAATAAATATAATTAATAATCAATCTAATTATTAACTAATCTATAAATCTAATTAATAATTCAATAATTTAATTGAATAATCAAGATAATCGCTGAAAGTTTTCTAGCAGCCATTTCTGTAAGAGAAAAGCGGCAAAAACTGGAGTGTGAGCGATAATACCACGTGCCTTCACATGTAGCAATTTAGTGGACAACTAACGATTTCTGTTCGCCAAAACGTAAACTAAACGTCTATTACTGTATAAAATTTATTTCAGTGGTTAAACGGGGAAAACACGGGATGAGCTCCTCAGTAAAGGAAGAAAAACGCATGCCCGCGGATATCGCGGGATGAGCAGATTTTGGTACATTTGAGTTGCCCGTGGAAATCGCGCGATGAGCAGCCAGAGGGTTAAGGAATACCGCAAAAATATTATGACAGTACTTTAGCTTAGTATCGCTGTCCACTACGAGTTATTAGATATCTTATAAATATTACGCTACATAAACAAGAAGGAATTTTAACTTAAATGAAATGAATAACAGTTTACATCGAAGATAAACTATTGTATATTGCTCAGAGAGAAAAACAAGAAAACCCAAAGTCTCCATAGTGCTCTAGGGATATTATACGTTATTAAAATCCCTCATACAGAAGTCTACAGCAGTGACCTCTGGGGATAATGCTCTATAGTAGAATAGTCGCAGACTCTTGAATAAACTAACTGACGCCCAACTGAGCACAATGTTCTAATAGAGTTATTCAAAGAATGAGGTAAGCACAATCGCTTACCTTATTCTTTAAATAACTAACTCTATAAGGTATTTCTCTCGCCTTCTTTGCATGTCTTCGGGGTGTGGTGGTCTTCACGCTCAGCGCGTAATTGAGAGGTCCGTGGTTAGATTCTCGGCGAAGGCGGTTACTCATTTTTCCTCTCTCCGGCTTTTCCAATTAATCTAATGTCTCTACAACTGTATTAGGTTACGTAACTCTATTTGGTTAGGTCCATTAGGTTATTGAAAGAATATGGTAAACACAATAAGGTAACAATCGCTTTTAGGGATTCAAAAAAGATTTTTTTATATCCAAAATGTCGCAAAATTGGCAAGAAATCACTAAATGTCGTCCAGACTTAAATAATTTTTGCTCTACTGTCTGTCTACGAGAAGAACAGGTTCCGCCGCAACCAAGTGTTGCCAATTCCTCTTTAATTGCGCCAAGATGGCAAACTGAAAAGTAAATCTTCAAGGCACCTCTATAGAAAATGGGTCAAGGCTCGTTTCTACGGTAACAGACAGCTACAGACTTACTGGCGAGAGCTTTTCTTATGATAGATAGACTATAGTTCTATTTGAGCTATCATTACAAGTCAAACATCGATTGATTCCGAATTAAAAAATATTTACGATATAATATACGAAATAAAACATTTATAAACAAAAATTCGTAGTCTTAAATAGGATTAAAAAGCATACTAAAATTTTTTCATGAAATGTACTAAATAAATAGGTAAATAAATAAAAATAACATATAACGCAACAGACATACGTCAATGTAAATTACATCACAACATCATTGATAATATTGCTAAAAGAACACTATTCTTAAACGCTTACCAGTCGGGCAGCTTCAGCTTGCATTGCAGCTTCTTCAGCCATGGCAGCCTCTTCTTCTTCTTCCGCTTTCTTCTGTAGCTCATCGTAAGACATAGCGACAATAGCCAAAATTAAATTTACCAGATAGAACGAACCGAGAAAGATGATTACAACGAAAAAGATCATGTGCCACGGCCCTGCACATATTAGAATCTGTTGGGCAAAAATTAAAAGCTTTTCATAAAAAATACCAAGAGATATCATCTGAAACTAAAAAAATAGGTTCACTCATTTTAAAAAAAACTTTGCGAAGTTATTTTCTTTTTTATGAATAGAAACACAGAAGAAAAAGTAGCAATGCAAATTGATATCAAAAAGAAATTATGTAAAGACGTATCCTTTTATACTTGTTGGGCATATTTGCTAACTTCTTGAAACTAAAAATCTTTTAAACAAATTCAGAAAAAAGCGTTAAGTTGTATTTCATTAAAATTCTGACACATAACTTAACATTATGGAACATTCATACGAAGAACAATGCATATTTAAAAAGGAAAAACAGCAAAATGTAACTCATTTTAACACAATTATAAAAATATACTTTCTCCTGCCAAAACATAACTCGGAAAGCATGCTTTATAACATTTGTTATCTTGTTCAAATTCCAGAATTCAAAAATAGCCAAAATAGAAGGAAAGATATTTTAAAACATGATGGGACAAAGAGAAATAAAAATGCTTTAGGTACTTACGTATTATCCCGTCGACCGTGAAACTGTCACCAAGCAGAGCGATTTAGCGCCAGTTATGAGTGAGCGTGACGTAACAACACACTCATAATATTTGCGCTTTCGTTTCATGAATTCTGATAGATTCTAGATAACCCTTGTTATGCTCCTTATGAACAAAGTTATAAATTTATTCTTACTGCTGTATATTTTTTATTGCATTTTGTAAAAAGTTATTAAAACTTGCGTCCTACATTTTATAGAACAATAAGCATTGGATTATTTTCAAAGGTATGGGATACTATTGTCAAAAATATGTGTATTAATGAACATGGTATTGTCAGCTGAATATGCCGACAAATGCTAATGGGTAAGAAGAATTACCTCCGGGAAATTTGTACCCTAAACAGAGCTTCCTTTAAAACATAGTGCCTAACAAAATAGTAGATGTCGACGGAAATTTTAAGAAGAGCAAAAAAGAAGCGGATCGAATACTGATTGTTCATTAAATAAAAAGTGTCATTTCCTTGAGAATTCCACAAAAACGTTTGGCGCAAATCTGACGGTATCTCAGGCAAATTTTATGATTAGATGGAAGCAAACTTTCACAGTCAACGGGATTATAAGCAAGTGCTATGTTTTCATTCTAATGTTATTTTTCTAAGAAACGTATTTTAACACACCGTATTTTAACACACCAGCATATAACGCGTACTTTTAATACAAAAACTAAGAACTAAGATAGAAATTTATAAAAATGATAGTTTTAGAAATATGTAATAAGCATAAAAAAATTAAATTTCTGCAATGTACCAAACTGATGTTTATTTAATAGAAGTGACATACGTTATGAACTTAAAATTTTTCATTATCGGATAACATGAAAAGCTCGTCATCTTTGCCTTCCATTTCATCTTCAAGCACATCATCGAACCATATTTCATATTCACCATTATTGTTACTCTGATCTACAGATAAGTCCGTCCATCATCCGTTCCATCTTTCACCAACACCAAATACCCTTGCTACAGCACGATTTCCATTTTCTTTCGCAAAATGAATGGTTTTGCAGTTTGAACCAGCATTTTGTTGATTTCTTTTCGCGGGAGCCATATTTACTACTAAAAGCAACAGTGCATCAACTTAATTTTAACTAAAGCAAATGCGATTTACTAAAGCCTTCGATTTTCATTTCAAAATCACCCCTTCAAATGACTATAGAAAGAAAAAAAAAACATCAAACTTCTAATTCTCCAAATTCATTCAGGTTGAAAGTGCATTCTTACTCCAAATTATATCCCCTTTTCTCGAAACTCTAGAAAAGCATTCTTTTGGACAACTGCATTGAACACAGTCCTCTCTCTTTGCAGGATTATTTAATCCCTCAGGCGGCTAACCCACACATCTAATGTTCCTCTTATCGCTTGTCCTTTCGGTATACTATTGTTTGAAATGGGTAGCAAAAATCTTATAATAAGTGACCTCAAACGATATGCGCATTGCACATGTATCTTTTAAGTTTCTTCGTGAAAAATTGGGTGGACGATATACGGCGAATATACCTAAAAATTTTAAAATGTAGCTTGAAATTGTTAATGCCCGTTACACGCCGGAAAATACTGCATTTTCGTACTTGTGTTTTCGTAATATATGTTAAAAAAGTCGTCAACAAATTCTCAAGTCATTGAACCAAACATTTTGTAGACAAAAGTGATCTGAAAATCGCCAAAATCTTGATAAATCTTCAAAGTTAGTGAAGCATTACAAAAGAATTCACATTGAAAAAAAAATTAACTTTTTGTAAAAAACAGGAATTTAAACCCAATATCTGGGAACAATATGAGCTAATATAGATTAGGTGTTATTACCTACTTTGGGAAAATGTACTGAAACTCTCTTCATTAAAACAATAAGTTGGTATTTGAGACAGAAATATTTTTATATTGATTCTGAGTTCGAGTTTCCTCCTCGGAAGTTTCTCGAAGGCGCTCTTATTCGCTTTAGTAATATCTTGCAGTATGGAAAGCAAATGAAGTTTACAACAATTCTTATTTTCCTAGATATCAAAGGTGCTTTTGATAATGGTTGATGGCCATCTTTTAAAAAAATTCTAAGCGTTCCTGATATGCCAGATAATATCTATTACCTGCTTAAAAGGCTCTTAGACGAGAGGACTGCCAATTGTCTTCTGTCTTCTTGGGCCTCAGAGGAAGGTTTATTCTGTGGGAAATAGCTGTCCTCAACACTCTGTGGCGTATTTTTTTGGGGGGGTGCACACTTTTGGTGCACGAGAACATTGTGCGCGTTAATTAAAAAATAAATAATAAATTGGCACACGTTTTAAAAATTATACAAAACATTTTGGTACTTTTCCGTTTTGCCGGCGCAAAATTAAAAAATGTTCACGAAAGTAAACTTTTAATTGTCTTAGTAAGTTTTTACCAAATTTTACGAAATTTAATATTTAGGTATAATTAATCATAGATACGAAGTATGGAAAAAACTCCGTATGCTATTTAAAAAAAGAAGTTTGCGTCAAAATATCTACTTTAGAACAATGCTATATATAAAGGTTAGGTACTTTTCCGTTTCGCCGGCGCAAATTTCGCCAAGCAGACTTTATTGGCGACAAGATACAGTATACACATAAAAAATGTTTACAAATGTTAGTTCTACGAAATTTTATTTTGAAGCCATAAACATTTTAATATGGTTTAAAATTTTGTGAAAAGTCAATAAATATAGACTATAAACTTGTAAAAAGACATTAATTTAAGAATTTACTATGCTATCATGGTTCAAAATCCTGATTCGCCGGTTCGTATCACGTGACTCCAAAAGATCTCATCTCACGTAAACTACGCTACAAAAATCTAATTCTCTCAGTAATTATCTATATTAATTTTAAGTTAAATCTTAATTTGGAATACAAGTTTAAATGCAAGAATTATTTCAAATTCGTACGAATAGCTTACTCAGAAATTATGTAAAACAGTAGTGCTTTACTTCGTTAGTGCATTCTCATTAGAATGGATGCATTTAACCCTTGTTTTGCCTTTTCTATATTTTCGCCTTCGGGTGAGCGGTGATTGCATCCTAATTGACTTAATTAACGCAAATGGTCTTAGGGTACAAAATTTAATTATCTTTATAAATATTCTATCTAACTGTATCCCAGTATTGAAAGAAACAATCAATCTGGTAAGAAATGGCTGAAACTTGTTTTGAAAATGCGGCGTAAAAAGTTACCAGCGAAGATATTCCGTTTGGCATCAGTTGTACCATTATTGATGACTTTATAGTTTGCGCCGGGAAAACGGAAAAGTACCAAAATTTTAAAATTAACTAAAACAACTTGGCGTAAGGTCATAAAACTAGATTAAATAGCGTAGAAACTTGGCGTAAGGTCATAAAACTAGAATAAATAGCGTAGAAAATTTTTAAAAGATTCATGAAAGTTGGCAGATGTTTAGGACGGAACATGCAAGAAATACTTCAAACGAAGCACTATATTTTTTGAGATAGTTGCCTTACTTTTTTAAATTACACAGCTTTTACATTATTTGCAACGGAAACCAATGAAAACAATTAAAAGTTGCTTTAAATTTAAAGAAAAAAGTGTACAAAATAGTCTTATTGAAATATACTCACACACTGATATAAATCTTCCCAGAAGTCCTGAGTCATTAACCTGAAGGATGACAATAGAGCTGAGCCAAAATTATCGAAGTTGGTGTAACCATAATTCGGATTTTTCCCAAAACCTTGTAAACATGTGAAATTGTCTGGACAGAGGCTATGAGTACAAATTTTTTACATCATTTTCAATCCAAAAATAAATCGAAATAGTTTCATTTATAAATCATGGCATATTTAACTTCAGTTTTTATATTTATTTTAAGAACATTAGCCAAATTGTATTTCAGACATAATAGAATAACATAGACATGTATTATTAAGTAAATAATAACACCATTTAATAATACAAAAAATTTGCGTGAACAGAAATTACGAAAACTATTAGAAATGAAAATATATACTTTATGCAATTTTTTAGAAGTATTTAATAAAACACATGGAAAATTTAAATTCTTATGTGAGATCTAGTTGATTGATTTTGCCATTCGAAACCTTACGCAGTTGAGACTATTAAATTTTATTTTTAGTCCAAAGGGACTTTGTCTCTGAACGACTATTTTTTTCGTTTTGCGATTTTGCGTTGAATCACTATAAACGGCGAATCACTTTTCAAACTATTGCCACCAAATGTTAGAGTCCTGCATTATATTGGAAGATCGCATTGCGATAAAACAACGGTACATAGAGCCATCGAACTTTGAATAATGTACATTCCCACTCGAATATGGGCATCTGAAAGACCAAATTTGGAATTCGTTTTATTATCTATTTCCCATTTTGTAAAACTTTAACGAATTTTTTATTAACAAGCTCAATGATTTTAAAGCAAGTAATGGCAACGTTGTACAGAAAATACATTTTTAGCTCCAACGGCGCTAGTCTCTGTATCGGAAATTCTGAAGATATGCTCATTTTAAAAATATTTTGCGATATTGCTGTTGAACTGAACTTTATGGTTTAAGTGCGAAGAACGTGATATTTAATAAATAAATGTATAACACAAAATGTTAGAAAAACGACCCTTTGGACGTAATCTAAAATCTGAAATGTTTCAGATTCTTTTTGGTTTATTATTTTTATTATTTCAGTATTAACTCGCAAGGACTGGAAATATAAATAATTAACATATTGCAAATGCCTGTCCAACCACGGTCCCTCTTTGAAATTCTTTGTTACAGGATTTTCATATTTATTATACGACACTTTAATTTAAATTTCCAACTTAAGAAATCCTAATCTGAAGTATCTTTACTATGAAGATCTGTGGGCGTTTGTCTTTGTTTGTCTGTGACATTACCTCCTTCTAAACGGCGGGGAGTTGAATTTTGAGATACGTATCCCCGGATTCCAAAAATTTGTGGGAAGCCATTTCGACCATTCTCACTTTCGTACGACTTTAATTAGCGAAGATATTAATCAAAAACTCTGGAAACACTAATTTTCACCTTCATGTCTCCGAGTGGCAACTGTCTCGCAAGCTGGAGTTAAAAATCTGCTTTATTTCGAAAAGTGTTGCCACTGCTCGCTTTCAAATCGTAGAGTTTGTTAATAAAAAATGTGTATGTTTTACAAAATATGAAATGAAAATAGCATTAAGAAACATTAAAGATATTATTACTATTATATAAGGTTATGTTTTGACGTTGAAGAAAGGACGCGATTGTCATTGTATGCCGAAACGTTTTTGTTAATGTCAACATTTTAAATATATAAATGCTGTTGGAAACTTTCTTGTTTCAGGTTAGGATGACTGACAGGCTACGTTATTGTAAGGTTAATTTTCTCATTGATATGGAGAAAAAGTTGTTATATTACATTAAATTTAAATAATGATGTCATATGTATACGTATTAACCTGGCGTGGCAAAAGATTTTGTTTCATAGTTTGGCAACAAAATAATTATTTACAAATTGGTCTTGTTGCTTGGAAAAAATGAACTGATTTCATTCATACTGCAATGTTTTTATACATTTGCTTTTCAGGTTGTACAAAGAACTTATAAATTTTGCTATGGCGTAAGCGCACTAGTTATTAATAACAGTTGTTGTCCACTAGTTATTAATATCAGTCTGAATAGGATGTCATATCATTTGCTTGGAATATTCTGAAAAGTTTTATTACACTTTATTTGTGTATTTATTAAAATGTTCTAGGTTTCGATAGTTCATCAATTTTCAGAAAACTCTTTTGAATGTAACCTGAACTTTAATCGACGTAATCCGTCAATGATCACAGATACTTGCAGTTTTTCCTTGAACCAAAATCCTTTTTATATACAGCAAATTCAGACAATTATGTTCATTGAAAAATGTTTTGTTGAACACTGCTAGTCGGTTACTATAAAATGATTGTTTTTCGAGTAATTTCTGTGTCAGAAATGGTAGCCTGATTCAGCTTTATTTCTCAATATTGGTAGCATAAATTTTAAGTGAAGCGGTATTTTATTGTATGTAAAGAAGATACCATACTCATTCTAAAGATATTTTTCTTAATTGCTTCACAAAAAATTTTGAAAACTAAATAAATACATAAAGTTGTACGTAGAAATCTTACCCTGCATTTGGTCGACAAAGTTTAGGTTCATTTTTCCCGTTTTCAAAATATTGATTGGCTGAAAGGAAAAAAAAAGTATGAAACCAAATATAAGCACTAATAATTTAGCAAACAGCACAGAAAACTGTTGTAGGAACGAAGTTTTATTTTATCGGAATGACATGGTTTGATTTATGTAATTACGGCAATGCCTCCAGGGCTATCTGCCTAAGGGAAGGGATGCCTTCGTGAAGGACTTTCTAAGGGAAACTGGTTCGTATGCAAGTTACACATAGGAAAAAAGCATGAAAACGCCCATGTAGCCAAATACTTCACGGGATTCAAACCGAACTACCAGTGTTCAGCGACTTTACCGCTCGACAACTGGTGGTGCAGAAAATCGCTTACTCTGAATTTTATAAAAAATAGTTTAATTAGCGAACTAAATAGAAGAGTTCACTAAACAGAACATGGTTGCCACACTTTCTTGATTAGGCAATTCGCACATGGTAGAGCACTTGGGGTTATCAATCTAAGAGGAGGAATGTCTCCGTGGAGGAATTCAAAAGAGAAACTAGCTTATATCCCCGTTACATTCGCGGAAAACGAGGGAAGCCAACGGTGCAGCCAGCCCATTTGCCTGGATTGAATCAGGTCAGACTCCCAATATTCAGCACTCTTACTACACAGCCCCCACAGCCCACAGCCCCTAATAAGGTTACAGTTTCATGGACCTGGATTACCAAAATCAATTCATGATAAATTTGAGAGCCAGACGTTTGTGTTTTCGAACCAGAACTTAGCGTACTATATTTATTATTTATTGTATACTAAAATATTTCTTTCTCTTTTATACTTGCTTTAATCTAAGAAAACTCTGGAGAAATATAAAAAATTTGAAATTTACTGAAATACTTTTACGCAATGTCATTAAACCTGAATCATTAACCCTGGTGGACTTGAGGGTAATATGTTTAATACCTTCGGTCAGAATTTAGCTTATAAAGCTGTGTTTATTTGTGACAGGTCTTAAAATAATTATTTCCTTATTACATTTAAAATTATTGAAAACAATGGAAATAAAGAAATGAGCAAAGTAAATAACTGTTATTTAAATAGCTTAGTGAAATGTAACTGAAGAAATAGCTCTAAGTTAAAATATACGTTATTCATTGTATTTCGTTTGTATCATCTTAATAAATATAGGCATATTTTTGAAAACCCATTCTGTTTATTATTAAACGCATATTTGAAATTTCATTTTAATTAATAACTTCTTGATATTACTAGATATAATATTGTTACGAATTTTGTATTTATATAGCTATTTTTGTAGAATTATGATTAAAATTATTGTACTTCCCTACGCAATGCAGCGTGAGAGAAATTTTAAGAGAAAGCTATGTCGGAAAAGTAAGGCTACATAAGCGCTTGCATTTTACATTGTGTAAATGGTTATTGTAAACGGTAACTGTATAAATGGTAATTTGTATTGAAATTGAATAAATGTAATTGAACGCTATGTTAACTGCAACCGTAACGCCATCCTCTTATTGATTTCCAGATATCTCGAGAAGCATAAAGTACTAGAAATTTCTTGAGACCTGTTGAAAACTACAAAAGCCCGGAGAGAGAGCATCTGTGTGCAGTAGCTTAGTTATTGTTTCTGCGAGTTGTTTAGTTTCGCGTGAGTTGTTTAGTTTCGCGTGAGTTGTTTAGTTTCGCATTTTATCTTTGCCGATGACACCGCTGCTTTGAAGCAAGGGTACTTTAATTTTCGTGATATGATATTATAATGACTATGACGATGGTGAATTTAAGTTATGCAAATTGAAGCTGAATGATTTTACTTTAAAAATCCAATTGATACATATCGCAAAGTATTATTGATGTAAGCATATTACGGAGCTATATTGGAGCATGAGGTAAGGGCATATGTTATTCAGTAACTCCAAACGTATTTTTTACCAGTTCATAATAATATAAGCAGGACAACTGCAGGTGTAAGAAAACAGTAGTTTATGTTACTTAGATTAAAAATGGCGTGGCTTCTTTTTTCTCAACAGATGAAGACAGGTTTGTGAAGATTTCTGTTTGATGTATTGAGCAAAAGCTTCACATTTTACTTTAACCCTTATTTAAGCACGTGTGTTGTTTGCCTCATATGAGAATTATATGACAGAAATAAAATTTCGATGATGCAGGATTTATTAAAAATATTATTCTACTTTTAAAGCAAAAAGAGGAAATAGCCAAATTAAAAACGAGACTTCGGAACTTAGTAAAAGTTAAATTTTTATTTTAAATTAAAAATATGTTTTTACTTGTAAATGTCTTAAATATTTGGTGTGGACACCACATGATTTCGTTGCATAGCCGATCAAATTACACATATTTTTTGCTACATTTCATTTAAACTTACTTAATCCAATTTTATTAGAGACATATTGCACATTCAATTAATTCAGTTCTCAGTCCACGGCAAAGCAAAAATACAGAAAACTCAAAACATCTTCATTAAAAATCGTCAAACACAGAAATACAAAAAACACCTAATACAGTTAAAACAGTTAAAAAACAATTTTTTACAATTAAAATTCTTTTAATTGTAAAAATTTACCTAAAAACAGTTTTTACCTAAAAAAGGGCTATTCGACCAGTGGGCAAGAATGCAGATTTTCGGTGCACAAAACTGAAAGTTTACTTTGGATCCCACTCGGCAAAAAGACACCGAAGATGCAGGCATTGACTTAATTCACTGTTCTACAGAATTTAAAATGAAAACAAATGGCGGTTCGCTAGATTTAACTCGCCACTTAAACTTTTAAATTGTTGATAATTCTACAACTATTATTGCATGCAGATTAACTAAAGGCATAAAAACCTTAACCCGAACATGATAATTAAATCACTTTTAAAGCACAAATGCGCAATTTGCCAATATATAAGAAAGAAAAAAAATAATCTCACCGAGTCAGGTAACAGAGTGGGAATATATATTTGTATTTACTAAAGAAATATTGATTATATTATCTCCTTATATAAATTAAGTATCAAAAAAGGGGGAACCCATATGTAGGAAAATTAATTCCAAAAATTGTGTTTTAAAGTAACTTGAATGTAAATTATGAAAAAAAAAAAAAAAAAAAAAAAAAAAACCGCTTTACGGGATCTGGAATTTAAATCATGAATAACAAAATTTCAAACTTTGAAAAAGAAATTAAAAATTAAAAACAAGTAATTATCGCTATTGATCGGAAATTAGTTGAATTTTCAAGGGGAACAAACCAACTTCCGTTCAATGAACAATAATTAATAAATGCAAAGGTGTTTCTTCTTTTACTCAAGTAAGAATGATGATGCCAAACTGGCAAAGTAAGTTAGGCCAAAATTGCAGTTCCGTGAAATGATGGGATTTATAACCAAAGTAGAGTACCAAAGTACTCATTCTGAATGAAGCATTTTCGCTAATACAAGATTCTTTACAAAATTTGAGTGAAAAGTAATTTATGCAGTAAAATTTACAAAATACTTGAGTAAATGTCCCCCGACACCTTCGCTTTTATGCATTAATTCAAGACCATTATTTAAAAAAATAAATAGTAGTAATCTTAATTGGAATTATGAAATAGACTTCAAAGCAATTAAAATAAACATGAGAAAATTCAGAAACATATTAATGCTATCTTTGCAAAAACAAATCAAATACAAATTGAAAAATTTAAATATATATAATAAGAAAGTAAAATGGGAAATGTACATGAAGATATAAAAAGACCAGAAAATGTATTAGTTAACTTACATTCTTTCTAGTGGGATGTCGGTAAAGTCTTTTTTTCTGTGTCTTACTCAGAAGGGGTGTGTGTCCGAATATTATCTTACTTTGCAGTTATTGCGCAAGTATTAAAAAAACTTGTTTTCGAACTGAGTTTTAGATCATTCAACATTATATATTTGTATTTATATACGATTGAGGGCCCACCAGCGGCCGAGCGGTAAAGTCACTGAACACTGGTAGTTCGGTCCGTGGTTCGAATCCCGCGAACGGGCTGGCTGCATGGGCGTTTTCGTGGTTTTCCCCATGTGTAACGTGTATACGAGCCAGTTTCCCTTAGAAAGTCCTCCACGAAGGCATCCCTCCCTTAAGGCGAGATAGTCCTCGAGGCTTTGCCATAATCACACACAAACAAACAAACATATATACGATTGATGCAACGATTGCAAAGGAAAAAGAAGTTTCAATACTACATGTTATAGTAGTTCCATATGCAAAATTTCAGCGTTCTACGGCTACTCGTTCTTGAGTTATGCTAGATACATAAATGCATACGTACGTACAGACGTCAAGAAAAAAATCTCTTCAGAATTAATTTTAAATCTAAATTACAATCCTTTTGCCAAAAACAGTCCTTTATTCCGTCCACATGTACAGATGTCACGCAAAAACATTGTTCAAATGGTTTCGAGAAAGGTTGAAATGAATATTTTCGTTGAAATATAATAAATAATTTTTTGGGATTACAATACTTACTTTACTTCGTATAAGAAAGTAAAAAAGGGAAAAAAATCAGGAATCAGAACTAAGAAATCATTAATTTCACCTGCAAAATCTTGAAGGTAAGTGGAAATATATGACATTTAGCATCTAACTCTACGCACATGAAATGAGTAAGATTTAAGGGAACGGTGGACTTTAAGATACCTAAAAATATCAGCAAAAGTATTGAATTTGTTTTCTTACTCTCGCAATATTCCATATACAGAACTACATCATATGCAAAACACCGAGTTCAAATATTCTAATTTTTAAAGAAGTTACAAGTATTTAAAATGTATAAACAATGTAAACGTCGCCCTTTAAATTTTGGAGAAAATGTAAAAAAAAAAATGCATTTCAATGGGGGGGGGGGGGGGTGGTGGGGGGGGGGGGGGTGGGCGGGGGGGGGGGGGGGGGGGGGGGGGGGGGGGGGGGGGGGGGGGGGTAATTTATACAAATGCAAAAAAAAGTGTTTATTTCTAAAAAAAAAAAAAAAAAAAGGCTAGAAATGTCAAGTATTGACAACTATTAATGAATTTAACTTTGGTTATGTAAATGCTATACGCTTAGAGCATGGGGAAACTCGTTTTTCCTATTCGTTGCAAAAAAGAGGGATCAACGTTGCTTGAACCAAAGCAAAAAGAAACGTTTACCTACTTGTAAAAAACAGAAATAGTAAAAAATATTATAAAGCATTAAAAGATAATGTAAATGTGACAAATGAAGGTAAAACATAGGGTGCGGGTGAATTTTAAAAGTTCCATTGGATATAATGCATAAATTGTTTCTTCCTATAACTTTGAATCACATACCAGTTTGAGATATGTTTATATTTGTCATATTTAATATTATGAGATTGAAAATAGTTAAATGATATGAACATGTTATTTAGTGTTTACAAATTCATATTCAAAGTTAATTTGCTGTTTCTCATGAACATTTATGAAAGGTAAGTTTGAAGACAATCTTTAAATTCGGTTTTCTCAAAACAAATTTTTTTGCAGTTCGTATGTCTCGAAAATGCTCCATGCGACTCATGTTTAGTTAAAAATGAATGATATTTGGAAGAAATTATCTTGTTATATGTTACAGTAGATCTGTGTATGCATTTTTGGATATTAGATAATTAAGAAATTTAAACTTGAGATAATGTTTAACAAAAGGTGACAGTTTTCCGAAAACTGAAGTTAAGTTTACAAAAATCCCTTTCAAAAATTCCTGATCCATCATATTCAATAACGGATACACAAAACTTTTGTCAAGGCTTTATAACTAACTAAAAGGAAAAATATTAAAAATTAGCGAGCAAGGAGCATTTTTAATCTTTAATTAAAATAACTAATTATTTGTTTTAAAAATTTTTAATTTAAAATAAATTGAAATTTTGAACATATATTGTATAAACTGATGTTATAATGCTTATATGTATAGAATTTCTTGATGAAAACACCAAAACTTAAAAACTAATCTTTAAAGTCCACGGTCCCCTTAAATAACTGCAGAGCAAACCAGAAATAATGTTAAGTGCTGATGTAAACTATAAATAAGTAATTCGTATTGATTATGGATCTTAAACTATTGAAACTAAGCTAGTTCATTATGGTTATTTGTAAACATACATGAATACTAGTATAAAACTGTAACGTAAATGGAATATAATAATTAAAAAAGACATACTTTCGTTATCGGCATGTATCCTAAATTCTGGAGTTTTTTGGACTTCTTCTATATTTTCTAGTTGCTCCGGCGTTACACGGATGCATTTATGTGTTAAAACACCCATATAAATTTGTAATCCCAGTAAGGCAAATATTGACAAAGAGAAGCAAGTCAATATGATCACATCCTTTAGATTTTTTACAGATTCAATAACAGCTCCTACGATGGTTTTTAAACCTAGTGGAAGTGAAGTGTAAAAGAAATATTATAGACAAAATAAATATTTCATCAGTAACTGTGTGTACAGTGATAAATATCCATACCTGGAACAATAGCTACAGTTTTTAAGGCTCTAAACACGCGGAATGTTCTCAAGGCGCTCAGGTTTCCTAAATCTACTCCCATAGTGACGTATCTGCAAAAGTAAACAATGAAATATTTTAAAATGTCACAACTTAATAACAAGCAAAAGAGTTTAGCTTCTACTTTTAACATTAGCATAACTCTACCATTTGACTCCTTTCCCGGATGTTGACGTAGAGAACTCTGCCAAGCTACTGGCTAGGATCTCTACCAAGGCAGTCTCGGCCAAGAGGGTATAGAAATTGTGAACCTAGTGGTTCTAAAGACCCCGGAAATGCTCGTGGGACTGGCACGTCCTAGAGATCAAGGCTGTAGTATCCCGGGATGGCGTCCCGCGTACTGCCTGGAAGTGACGCTGCGAGTGTGCTGGGTAATGTCCTTGAGTGACGGGCAGCCCGTGTGACTGGCAGGTAGCAAATCATTGACAACGATCACTGTCGCAAAAGCGATGCGTGTCTCTCTTCAAGGTGTGAGGACAGGGGTTGAAGCCCTGTGCCTGGTTTGGCAGGATGAGGGAGTTCTTCAGGGCCATTCCCACTGCCGTTTATCTAATATAATGGAGAAAACTGACATAGCCGACTCATCTCGAAAACCAGTTTTTTTTTTCCATAGGGCAGCAAGTCGAAAAATCTGAACTACAGGCATGGTGGAGCTAGTCGACACAGGGAATTGACTCCATCAGCTAGGGCCGTTTCCATTGGGGTTTATCTGAGTTAAGAGAGTTACTACCATGTGCGGACCATGTGTGTTAGGAGAGTTACTTACCATGTGCGGACTAGCTCCGCTATACGTGGAGTTCAGATTTTTCAATTCTCTGCGCTATGAGGCAAAACTGGTTTGGGGGATAGGTCGACTATGCCAGATGTGTCCGTTAGCTCAGATAAACCCCAGTGTGAACGGCCCTTTCGTATCATTTAATTGACGAAAAGAGGAATGCCCAGAGTTACCTTATCTTTACCATTTGGCAGGTCATTTTATATGACCCTCCAAAAAGAACACATTCTAATAATAATAATAATACAAAGTTATGCTTAACATACTTTCAGTAAAAATATTTCGATATTATTCAGTTTGTCGAAAAATATTAGATATGTTCTTCCTGATCTATGCTGTAATGAATATAATTTTTGTGTATTCTTTGATGTTTTTTATTTACGATCCAACATTGTTTCACATTGTAGGCACGTCACCTTTTTTCCCTCCCTCCTTCTAGCATGCCTTCGTCGTGTAACGGTTCGCACACTCGGCGCGCTTCGAGAGGCTGAGTTACGAGTCCCGGTGAGGGAATTGCTCATTTTTCGTGTTTCATACTTCAAAAACATCTAATGACTTTACAGTGGAGCCCGACCTAAAAGGTGGTGGATTAGGATTTTTCGCCACCAGGATTTGGCGATTGGGTCCGCTAATCCCCAGTCGCCCTTTAAAAGAGGAAGCGTATAAGGTATTTGCTCGATCCTTCCAGCATGTCTTCGTGGTGTAACGGTTAGCCCACTCGGCGCGTATTCGAAAGGTCCAGGTTCCAGTCTGGGCGAAGGCACTGCTCATTTTTCACGTCTCCTCCACCAAAATAATCTGATGAGTCTACAACCTGACCTATAAGATCACCGTAAAATAAATTCGCACGTATTTTCGGGCATATTTTCGTCTTTTCTTTTAAAAATTGATTTAAGTGCTTACAGCTAAACATAAATAAAGGAAGATCGTTGATGCGGATATTGTTTCTAATGTCTCGAGGACCAAAGAGGAAGAGAGTGATACTGAAAGTACAAGCGGAGAACATACTGACAATTACATCAGTATAGACACTTGGCTAGAGACAGCAGTAACTTCTCTCAAAATTCTATCGGACTTTGTCTATATGTCACGAAGGTAGGAATTAAACTTTAGCTTTGCGCTACACCGAAAGTGAAAAACGTGCATCTAATGAAAAATATACATACGTATGAATATTTAAGTGGAATGAAAAAAATTATGAACGTATAATGATGAAGTAAATGGTGAAATTTAAGTAGTATCATACAATTATTTCATTATTATATAATTATGAAAAATTATGATTAAATTAAAAATTTTTCTATTATTTAGTATTAACGTTTTAAAAATCTGTTTCACGCATTTCAGTATTCCTTAAAATTAGACAAGATTCAATATGTCTTACCAATTCAGAAGATAATGATACAAAACTCTTCCGAGAATAAAAGATCTCTCATTTTCAGACTCTAACCAGATTCACAAATTATACCAGTGCTAAATTAATAATAGCTTGCTTAACAAGGAAAAACACCTTAACTGAATCAAGGAAGGAAAAGCACTGAGCAAGTAATTCACCTTCTCTATTTAAAAAAATGAAAGTTTACTTTGCTGTTTTCTGTTTAGAGAACGCATTAGATTCTTTGGAGTAGCCGGTTATTCCGGATCCACTCAAAAAAGTAACTGACTGATTTATTACGTTATCAACCATAATCAAATATGATTTCAAAAACTGAATTAACTTCATTTAACGCAACCCTTCCATAACAATACAGCAACAGCAAGAATGCCTTTAATGCTCATAAAAAACTCCAGTAACAAAATATAACATTCATTAACCACACGTATAGGCATTATACTCATCAGCGATTCCATTGGAGGATGACATTGCATTTGTTCTCAATGCCCACAGTATGGTTATTCCGTAAGACAATAGCCAATATATTCAGCAGCTTTTTCAAAGAATTAAAATTAATAATTCTTTAAAATGTCGGAAGCGAAACTACCCCGTAACCGTGGCAGCTAATCAATCGTAAGCAAGAATTTAAAAACAAATCTGAGAAAAATGAAGATTCCCAATAACAAAATTAAGAAGAGAATAGACAGGTTTTGTGGGATTTAACATTCTAATGTGTAGAGATATTAGGTTATTTCGAAGCAGGACATGTAAGAAAGGAGTATGGCTCTCGCCAGGACCCGAACCTAGGACCTATACGCGCCGAGAGTGCTGATTATTGCACAACGAAGCATGCTAAGAAGGCGGGAGAAATACCTTATAAGTAAATCAATTTAAAAAATATTTTTTTTAAAAAACTAGCTTCATGATTGGTACTCGTTTTACTGCCAATTATGCAACAATCTAATATATTTCATGAGCGAATATCTAATAATATTTTTACAACGGTTTTAATTTTATTGCAGCTTTATTATCTAGTCTTATGACTCAGGTGTAATTGAATTATCATTGCTTATCCGAAGTTATAACTGAGCTGTCATTTCAAAGAAAAATTCGCTTTAAAAATGCCAAATACTTTTAGGATGTCTTTTCCGAAAGCCATGATGCCAATTTTGCTCCTAAGCTTTCAAATACTTATAAACTCAATTAGAAGCATAAATTTAATTTTTTAAATTAAAATATTCAGGTTAAAACTAAAACGCACTGAACTCTGATATCCTAGAAGTTACTATATACAATCCCCGATAAAGTTTCGAAAACAGCATTAGGTATTTCATATTGGCGTATTGGTATTTCTTATGCACAAGAAAAGATGGTCAACGGAATTTCTAAAGTGAAACTGTCGATTAATGCCCAATAAAAACTACTAACATAATAAGATCCCTCGAAAGATCGTGCTAAAAACACTTTTGTAATAATTTGGCGAAATGTTGCTACTTTGCTGTTGCGATATGTTTAATTGTACTGAGATTATTTACATATAAAGAAACACTATACACTAAATGTATTCTGCAAACTGATATGATGTAACAATGACTTATATTCAAAATGAGCATTTACGTAATTTTACAAAAGATATTTAATTAAAAATATTATAAATGATATTCCCTTATAACTTAGGAAACTGAAGTTACCTTTTAACTTAACAAACTTAAGGTACACTGCGAAAAAAAGAAATGGGGCAGTTCTACACTGACTACCAATAAGTATTTGGACACCTATGCAAATGACGATATCTGCGGTCCTAAGGTTAAGTCACGGACTCCGCCGGTATATATCGTGTAGGAACAGCATCGCTTAGTCGCATGCAAGATGCCTCGCAGTTTGAGCTCTCTCTGATTTCGAGAAAGTATATTATCAGGTATCACAATGGGGCCGATCCTAAGGACATATCTAGAGATCTGAAGTAGCAAAATCGACAGGCCTATGTGTAATAAGTGGAAGGTGAGTGGTGGAATTGTTGGAAGTGCCCCGAGTAGAGCCGACGGATTGCAGTCCAGAGAAATTCGGAAGAACCGCACCCAACTGATGGCCCTCATCCGCGATGAGTTTCAACAGTCATCCGGGTTGTTTCAATAAATACCATCCATAAGGAAGCACATCTGCTTGATTTTCATGGTCGTGCTGCTGCCCATAAGCCTTTGATCACAAAGTCCAATCGCGCTGCTCGGTTAATGTGGTGCAAAGCACATCGAAATTGGACCGTAGATCAGTGGAAACGGGTTCTTTGGAGTGACGAATCAAAGTTGACCCTTTATCGTTCGGATGGCAGGGTCTGGGTCTGGCGTCTACCTGAAGAACGTCTCCTGCCAGAATGCATTGTGCCAACAGTCAAGTTCGGCGGAGGTGGAATTATGGTCTGGGGGTGTTTCTCCTGGCATGGGCTGGGACCCTTGGTCCCCATTCATGGCAAGCTCAACTCCGATGCCTACTGCACTATTTTGGATGACAATGTGATTTCTACGTTGTGGCAGTTTTACGGGTTGGACCCCTGTTACTTTCAGAACGACAATGCCAGTTGTCATGTTTCGACGTTAACCAAGGCTTGGTATGGTGCCAATGGAGTTCATCGAATGGACTGGCCTGCCCAGAGTCCAGACCTGAACCCTATCGAGAACCTCTGGGACGAGTTGCATCGCCGAATTCAGGGGTGCACTACCCGTGCAAAATCGGTGAAGGAACTTCTATGTCTTCTCCAAGCCGAGTGGAAGAAAATACCACTAGCTGTCATACAAAGACTTGTGGAAAGTATGCCCCGGAGGGTCCACGCTGTAATTACCTCTCGTGGAGGCTCTACCAACTATTGATTTTGAATAAAGTTAGTTTTTCTTTTCTATCACAGGTGTCCAAATACTTATTGGTAGTAAGTGTATATCTCCTGTTCTACTGGGACGATTGACTAAATTCAACTTGCGTTTTTCATATCGCGAAAGCGCGACTTAGGATAAGTATCAGATTTATATACAGCATTGTTCTAAAATAGGTATTTTGAAAAAAAAAATGGAACTTTTTGAGAAACGACATGCCAATTTTCCCCCATATTTCGGTTTTACAACTCAAAGTAGGCCTAAATGCCAGGTTTTGAAAAAATCGCAAGAGTAATTTTTAAAAAATTAGCTCTCAAAATTTTAGCGCGTCAATATTAATTGAATTTGATACATGTTTATTAATGTCTCTTTTTATTAAATTTATTAAATAAAATTTTATTTGATTCTTCCTTTCCCATTTCGAAATTTAGCTTTATTTCAAATAAATTCACTTTTTATGATTTATTTTGAAAAATTTGTATTTTAAAATTATTTTTATAAATTTTTCGAAAAACGTTTTGCAATAGAACCTATAATATTTTTACTATCATCGTAAAGCAGATGTATGTATAAGCATACCTGCAAAATAATAGGATTTTTTATTCAAAGTTTCTCATGATTTACATGAATTTACATACTGGCTCGTTTTGCAGTTTTGCATATTTTTTATAATCGATAATAACGCAAAATGTGGTTTACGCACTTTGTTAAAATTATTTGAAAGAATGAACGATCACTTTTTCCCGTTCGTACAGAAAGAAAAAAGTCAAAGGAAAATATGTTACTATAAATTAAGAAGTTCGCCAACTGAATTATTATTGGAGCAAACTGAAAAAAATATGCTAAGGTAAATTTGTGAATTTCTCTGTAAATTTCGCACCAAATTTAATTTAAAAATATAATTTGAATCGTAGAATCGAAATGTGGAAAAAAAATTGGCATGTCATTTCAGGAAAAGTATGATTTTGTGTCAAAATACCTACATTAAAACAATGCTATATAAATTTAATATATATTCTAAGGCGCGCTTTCGAGACATGAAAAACGCAAATTGAATTTCGTCCATCGGCGTAGTAGAACGGGAGACATAGAACTGTCTTCTTCTTCTTTTTTTTTTTTTTTTTTTTTCGCTGTGTTACCTTTTAACCTCAACTCTACCTTATAACTTAACAGGCTAATTCAAAACGTTTAACTCTGTGAGGCATTTTATAGCTTAGAAAACGTTGGTAATGAAAACTTGGAATAACTGAGTATCATAATCAAATAAAATTAGACATGAGACTTAAGGAAATTTGAGACTTAAACATATTACTTACGCTAAAGAAATAACTACAAAATCAAGCCAGTTCCAAGGATCCCGAAGATATGTGAAGCTTTCGAGAATGAATCCCCTAGCTAGCATTTTGATGATGGACTCAAAGGTGTATATCAAAGTGAAGTAAATTCTGTAAAAGAATTCAATATATATCATAAATACATGCTTAACAACAACACATAAAAAGAAATTTTTGATAACAGACTCAAGGGTATATATCAAAGTGAAGTAAATCCTGGAAAAGAATTTAGTAAATATCATAAATATATTCTTAACACCAACATATAAAAAGAAAATTTTCAAATATTCCAAATTTTTTTAAACAATAATTAACACTATTAATAATATCAATATTCTTTCATACTTATAATACGTAACACTAAATAAATGCAGATATTAATAAGTTTCTTATTGCTATATTACACAGGTTTCAGAGACTTGATAAATGCATCTAAAATAAAATATAGAATTGATCGATAAATAATCTAAAATCTTAAATTTTGGGAAAATGATACGTAACAAAAAGCTTCCGTTAAAGAATTGGATGATCCGAATTCTGAAATGAATTATCTGTTTTGAAGAAACTTATCCCATTTTTAGACCAGGCTAACTAGATCCTTCTTCAGTAAGCCTGTAGTTATCCCGTCGTTATAAAATATTAATAGAACTACTTCAACTACTATTTATATAGAGCGGAAGCGAATATGAAAAATTTCTCACGTGAAATGCTCAAACCGCACCAAACATTTTGTAGATGTAAATTCAGGCGTTTTTCGGAAAGAACTAAGAAATTCACGCCAGGGGGGTCTTTGGTTTAAAACTCCTGGCCTAATGGGTATTAATTATCTAACTTATAATTTCCATAGTAAAATATTTGTATCGTGTGAAATGATGAACAAAAATTCAGTTTTACTATGTTGTTTGCTGTTTGAGAGAGGGAAAGAAAAATAAAATATTTATATTTTTGATTTCAAATAAAGTTCAGTATTAAATAATCATTAAACAAATGTTGGTTGGGCAATAATTCAATTAAATATTTTAAATACTTAGACCAGTCGTCGTCAAACTTAAAAAATTGGCGACAACGGGACACTGGCCAACTATAATTAAAGAAATGTTAGTTGTGTAATAATTCAATTACATTTTTTAAATACTTAGAGCAGTGGACGCCAAACTTAAAAAATTGGCGACCACTGGCCACTGGCCAACTATCATTAAAGAAATCTTATTTGTGTAATAATTCAATTACATTTCTTAAATACTTAGACCAGTGGTCGCCAAACTTAAAAATGTCCCCTTCTGAGCTACATTGCCATTTTTAAATCTTCCTCTCAGCTACAAAGCAAAAGAACTACAATTTTTTTAAACTTTACGATTGTTTATTGCTTATAGGCTTACATTTCTAGTAAATATGAAATCAATTTTTAATTAAACTGTATACAATAAAAAGAAATTGAAATGGAAATGGACTAAGAAAGAAAATGAAGTGTAGTTACCAATAAATAGCAAACGTAATGACAGTGGTTTTATCAGACTTAATTAACTTTAATCAGAACAATTGAAAACTTTTTTGTCATAAACAAATATTTTAGCTCTGGGAGAGTAGGTAGTGGCTGCCATTCGTATACAGTTGTCAAGTGTTCATCAGTGAGTTTATTTCTGTATTTAGTTTTGATAAATTTCATACTTAAAGAAGAAAACTCAGACATATGTGTAGAGCAGAATATTGCCTACACATGCACAAACTTGGATCAAAATTGGGTATTTTTCTTTAGGAAGAGGGCAAATATTTTCAGAGCTTAAAGAAAGCCATTTTACAGATATATCATCTGAAAATAAATCAGTTCCTACTCTACTGCAGCATTATCTTCTTGAAAATCAAAATGCTCCGTAGCGTTTTTTCAACTCTCGAGAGCGAAACCTATGACATATATAAAATTTGGTACTTTTCCATTTTGCCGATGCAGGCGATAAAGTCACCAATAATAGTACAACCGAAGCTAAACGGAATTTCCTAGCTGGTAACTTTTTAGGCCTTATTTTCGAAACAAGTTGCAGCCATTTCTTATTAGATTGATTGTTTCTTTTAACACAGGCATACAATTACATAAAATTTTTACCAGATAGTTCAGTTTTATGCCCTAAGGAAATTCGCAAATTAAGTCAATTACGGTGCAATCACAAGGCTCACCCGAAGGCGAAAATATAGAAAAGGCAAAGTCAAGGGTTAAATTCATGAATTCTAATGAGAATGCGCTAGCGAAGTAAAGCACTACTGTTTTACATAATTTCTGAGCAAGCTATTCGTACGAATTGAAATAATTCTTGAATTTAAACTTGTGCTCCAGATTAAGATTTAACTTGTAATTAATGTATGTAATTACTGAGATAAGTAGATTTTTTTAGCGTAGTTTACGTGAGATGAGATCATTTGGGTCATGTGATATGAACCGGCGAATCAAGATGTGGAACCATGAAAGCATATTAAATTCTTAAATTAATGTCATTTTACAAATTTATTGTCTTTATTTATTGGCTTTTTACAAAATTTTAAACCATATTAAAATGTTTACGCCTTCAAAATAAAAAAATTCATAGAACAAACATTTGTAAACATTTTTTATGTGTATACTGTATGTTGTCGCCAATAAAGTCTGCTTGGCGAGATTTGCGCCGGCGAAACGGAAAAGTACCTAAACTTTATATAAAGCATTGTTCTAAAGTAGATATTTTGATGCAAACTTCTTTTTCTTTAAATAGCATACGGAGTTTTTTCCATACTTCATATCTATGATTAATTATACCTAAATATTAAATTTCGTAAAATTTGGTAGAAACTTACTAAGACAATTAAAAATTCACTTTCGTGCACATTTTTTAATTTTCGCCAAGAATAATTAATTCACTTTGCGAAATTCTTAATTTATAGTAACCTGTTTTCCTTTCATTTTCATTGCGCTTGAACGCAAAAGAAGGCGCATCGTTCATTCTTTGAAATAATTTTAACAAAGTGCATAAGCCACATTTCGCGTTATTATAGCTTATAACAAGCATGCCAAATTTTAAGACGTGGCAATATATAAATTCAAGTATATCTTGGGAAATTTTAAATAAATAACCATTTTTTTCCAAGTTTGCCTAGAAGTATATCTATTTTAAAGCGAGAACAAAAATGGTTTAGGTCATAATTCAAAATGTTTCTCGAAAAACGTTATTTAAAAATACAAATTTTAATAAATCATAAAAATGTGTGTTTTTGAACTGAAATTTCGAACTATGAAAGAAGGAATCAGGGAAGTTCAATAAAAAGTGATACAAATAAAGTGATAATAAATACAGAGTGATACAGATAAAAAGTGATAATAAATACAGAGGCTGATCGCATATTTTTCAGACGATTTTGGTTTGCTGCTGAAAAAAAATCTTCTGCTTGGAAATTTTTTAACTGCAACTACATTTTTAAAAGTACTCTGTTTTCATACAAAATGTAACTTTTACTTTCACACGTTTAAAGAAGCAAAGGATGGAAGGCTGTGTTTGTGTTCTTTCCGAAGAAAATTATTCGTATCTAGATATTAAAAAAATATTGTCAAACCCATTGTTTTCCGGTATCAAAAGCTACGATAGCTAATATTGTCAACATCAACGAAAAAAAAGTCAAAATTTTGCTTCAAGTGGAAAATGATTGGAAATACGTATCCAAAGAAAAAGCGGAGTTTTTCGAATGTCACAAAAGTAAAATTTTAATGTTAAAAGAAAATCCTCCAAGTCAAAGGACAGATGCAAAAACATTAAAACGCTCAGTATCAACTGTAAATAAAGTGATTAATGCTGATATGAATCTTAAAAAGGCAAAAAAAATATAATCGCTTTTGTCCACGACATATCGCCGAACGCAGAATGATTTACGAGAAATATTTATCTCCACAGAAATGGAAAAATGTTGTCACAATAGACGAAACATGGGTGCATTTAAATGACTGTAATAAAAAAAGATCCATTTATTATCATCAAAGAGGAGAAAAAAATCTTAAAATATGACTCAAAGAATCTAAAGAAAGTTTCTCTTAGGGATTTATGATTGTCGGTGGTTTTTTTATATAACTGTAAATTAAAAATAAAAAGAATGGAGAAAAGTGTTAAGACAAGCTCCACGTGTTATTAAAAACATATTATACAACCAATTTTCAAATATGAAATATTTCTTTACACACAGTGTGATCAATCAGTAGAACTGCATCATGGCAAAGCAAGCAGCGATGCGTAAAAATCTATTGTTAATTTCCTGGAAAAAATGGAACAAGAAACCAAGGCCGCTCCTTTCACTCATATCCAGATCTATCTCCAATATATTTCTGCGCTTTTGAACTTTTAAAAAGCGGGTTGTCCAATCGTTGACCTACAAACGTAGGGAATCTGTTTGAGAGCAATGGGATAAAATAAATCTTCCGATACTACAAAATGCTTTACTGTCTTGAAAATTACGGTGTATAAAGATAGCAAAGAATAAGGGTTATCAAACAGAACATTTAACACAAAAAATTTAGGTAAAATATTTCTGTAATTACGATAGAATTCGTATAAAAATGTGCGAACAGCCTGTATATATATATATATATATATGAAATGGATTTTCTCATACATTATTTGTGTTGTGCAGCCGGGGCAACAGGAATGAGACAAAGTTTGGAATATAAAGTGATACGTTTATTTTAGCATCCATCTCACAAGCGTTTCTCCTGTACTTTGATACGAACGTGATTATGCAGGGTTTCTACTGCGGCAGCAATACTTCCCTGCAACCTGAGATGTTTCCACGATGGGAATTGTAATGAGGTTTACATAAGTAGATCCCAAGATGGGATATCAGCATTCAAAAGAGAGAGAATGGCCCAAAAACATGGCTTGGGGAAGTGGGAAGTGAAGAATCTGCTGGAGATCTTGGAGAAGAACAGTACTTCTAAAAGCCGTTACCCACTGAATATCAAACTGACGATCTGCGAATCTGTTGGTTATGCTCTATCCGTTCGGTACTCTATTAATGCTCGATGCTTGTGAAAATATGAAGTGACTAAGAAGCAGATCAGGAACTTGTGTGGAGAAAGCGTCCGCAGTCCGACGTGGGATGAGATAGTTTTAGCTGTTTTGACTTGACATATTAAAGACATGAGCTGTGAAGTGACGAGAAAAGCAGTCGTCATCGATTATTACATAGCTTAGCACGTCAGAAAAATCAGCAAAGTGGTTATGGATGGCTTTTTGATCGAAATTTTCGTTCAATTTGTTGAGGTGGGTCTTAACGTAGTCGATGTTCAGATCTCTATGAAGATTTTTGTTCCTGATGAATTAAGGTGCTTCAGTAATGAGTCGTAAAAAATTAATTTTGGATGGTTTGCAGTTTTTTTAATTTCGTTACGTTTTGCATTTGCCCAGACAGGCGAGGCATATGAAAAGATGGGACGGATGATGGTGATATAAATACGCTTTTTCCTGGTCATGCTGAGTCCTGAGTTTTCTGTGAGTAGGAAATAAAGTTTCCGCATGATAGCGTAGATTTTTCCTTCTGTACTTTGAGAAGAAGCTCTATTTATAGATATGTGTGCGTCATGGCGCTCATCCAATCAGAGATATTAATTGAAATCACGAGGTGACGCTATCTTCTCATCAGGAGTGTTCTTAATTTCTAGTGATTTATGAGTTTGGCGATTTGGCGGGCGCCAACAGGTTAATATAATTTATAATAAAGAAAGAATTTCGCCAAAATTTAGGAACAGGGATGCAATTTAGGTAGAGAATCACCAACGCATTATTAACAATATGATTAGAATTTAATTTAATCAATTGATTTAAAAATATCATTACACACACATATATATATATACCAAACTCAATAAACATTGAAAAGCTAGCATTTTTTATAAAAATAATTTTGAAAAAATTATTCACGCGATTTTTACAAAGTCGGATTTTACTTCAAAATAGCAATGTTACAATAATGTTATATGTAAATTTAATATGTATCTTAAGTCGTGCTCTCGAGACATGAGAAATGCAAGTTAATTTCGTCAATCGGCCCAGGAGAACAGGAGTTAAGAACTGTCCTATTTTTTTATGCAGAGTAAAATGTTAGTGATTATTTACAGCATTATTATCAGAAAATTTTTACTTACTCAGAACTTTCGATAGTAGGGTTAGTAGGAAAAGTCATGAGAATGCAGTTAACGAGGATAGTAGTAATGACAAAGAAGCTGAAGACAGGATGGACCAGAATATAAATTGCCACTCGACGGATTGGATTGAAAGGACTCAACAGGTACAGGGCGTTAGTTGCACTAAACCTAAAGATGTCTTTCCCTTTACTAATAACTACAAAGGTCTGTAAAAGCAGAGTACATTCATATTACAAATTTATCCTCTAAAAATCTAAAATTAATTAACATATGAAATTACAAAATAAAGAATAGTTTAGAAAACTGTGAAAAATGGAACCAAAGTTTGTAGTACTTATCGGTTATCACAACTCATATTTTTTATAATAATTTGCTTTGCGCCAAGAAGTGTTTTAGCCCTGAAACATCTCCAGTGACATTTTATTATTGCTTATCTATTTTTGAAAAGAATACGTTTCAAAAATCTGTAAATATTACTTGAGTCCTCTGTCGCGTTATACGTAATTATCTCCATTAAATGTTTTAAAATTCTCTTTTCAATTATTTAAAAAATAGACTCCCTTATTTCGCGATAAATACTGCTGGGAATCCATGGTTTCGATAATAACGCTCTATCATGGTTTCCTTCGTTTTGCAGAAACACGTGTGTACTACGATTTTATAATAAGAAAACTAATGAGCGGACTGTCTAAATAGAGAACTATTTTATTAACGGTAATTACTACATTCAGTACTAGTACATGCTCTGGCATGTTACTGAGTCGAATCCAGGTGGCCAAGTGAGAGGTTTTTTCTATATACTTGTACAATAGGTGGCGCTGTATTCTAACCTGACAACGTGCAATGACAAAAATGTAAATTTCATGAGCGTTGATTTTGTTATATTTGCCTTTGTACAGCATGCAATTCTTTTGAAGCAAATTAGAGATTTTTGAATTTATTTTGTTGATTATTTACTTGTTTTAGTTTTGTTGATTGTTTCACAATCAACAAAAAACAAACTGGATTTTTAACTAGGATAACCGATAAGTTGCTTAATTCAAACTGAGGAAAATGCAAAAAACAATTGGAATTATCAAATTTCATTAAACATATATATACCTTTGCTTGACATCAGTTATCACAGTTACGCGTCATTTATATTAAGGTTTTGTTGATCCTGCACACTTGAAAAAGAAACAATAATAATTACAATATTATGTCATTTTTAAAACCTTGCAAATTTCGACTGCTTCCTTTTTGGTTATTTTTCACAGCCTAAGATAATTTATGTTGATTTGCAGAAGGAAGCATGACAGACAACTTTAGTTTGAACTTCAATATAGAATCCTTTTCGCTTTCACTCATATATCCGAAGCAGTAGTTGGTGCAGATTTTGTTATATTGATAGTTTCAGTTTTCTCACTTCTTCATCAAATTACAAAATATCTTTATCTTTACAACAGTTTTCTCCGGTTCCACTGGGCCTATTGACGAAATTCAAGTTGCTTTTTTCATGTTTCGGAAGCACGACCTTGGATATGTATTAGATTTATATATAGCATTGTTTTAATATATGTATTTTCGCACAAAATCGGACTTTTCTGACATGCCACTTTGTTTCCATATTTTGATTCTACGAATCAAATTATGCCAAACTGCCAAGTTTTGTAAAAATCGCACGAGTACTTTTTAAAAATTAGCTCTCAGAATTTTAGCTTCTCAGTGTTAATTGAATTTCATGTATATTTATTAATATCGCTTTTTTATTACACTTATTTGATTCTTTCTTCCAGAACACGAAATTTAGGCTTAATCCAAATATAATTCGCACATTTGTTATTATTTATTTTAAAAGTTTGTATTTTAAAATAATTTTCATAAATTTTACAAAAAACGTTTTGTATTATAACAATAAAATTTTTAACATCATCTCAGAGTGGATGTATTTCTAAGCATATCTGAGAAAAATGAGAGTTTTTCTATTCAAAATTTCCTAAGATATACGTGAATTTACATTTTGGCGTGTTTTGAAATTTGGCATATTTAGTATAAGCGATAATAGCGAAGATGTGTTTACGTACTTTGTTAAAATTATTTGAAAGAATGAACGATGAACCTTTTTTTCCTCTCGGTGCATCAATTAAAAAATGTAAATTAAGTAGGTTACTATAAATTAACAATTGCGCCAAGTGAATTATTCTGAAAAATTTCGCCAAGATAAATTTTTTAATTTCTCCATGAATTTCCCGCCGTAAATTAAAAAAATTTAATATCTAGGCATAATTTGTGTCATAGAATCGAAATATGGGGAAAAATGATATCTTACTTCAGAAAAAGTATGATTTTGTGTCAAAATACCTATGTTAGAATGATTGCTATATATATATATGTGATCCTAAGTTGAGCTTTCGAGGCATGAAAAACGCAATTTTAATTTCGTCAATTGGCCCAGTGGAACGGGAGATACAGAGCTGTCCTTTTTTTTAACAGTGTGCAAGGCGTTCCATATGAAATGGAACACATATTTTAGAGTTTTACATAATTTACACCTTTAATAATTTTATTTACACCGGAATCGACTCGTCAAGCCGCACTTGTCTAACTCGTGTAGCTTCGTTTGGGTTTTCGACGTGATTTAAATGTCACTCAACGATCACTCGACGAACCATGTCGCCTGGTCTTTTGATCAACTAATATTCTCTGTATAATAATTAACATGAGGCTTACGGCTATCGACATATTCAGATTTTACTTCTGAATATTTGAAGAAAGGTTCTCAGTAAAAAAAACACGACCATTGGTGCAACGGGAAGATGAACTTCCATAGCGAACCTTGAAATTCTGAAAATTCAGGTAGCAGTCATCATAACAGTCAGTGATTAATAGCAGTCACTTCAAATACTACTCACTGTAGAAGTTTACATATAGATTTACTCATATTTTTCAAATCATTAAGTCTTACATAAGGCAATTCTAAAATAACTGGCACAAATATAAAGGCAGATAGAGGAAACCATGATAAGCGGATTTATGTGTGTGCGAAACGAGCGTGTGGAAATAGCGCACTGAGGAAGTAGAGAGCTCTCTTCCATCTGTAAGTGACAGCGGTTCTCTGGCGTAAATCGTCCGTCCCACAGCGGTTTTAGACCAGAATGCGTCAAATACATTTAATCTATGGAACTGTGGACAAAAACAAAGCAGATGTCCAAAGGATGGACAGAAAACGATTCCAGAGCTGCAGAATCTTCAACGTTGGAGACAATAACTGTGAGAATATATGACTGTGTGAGAGTGAATCTCGTGTTACCGTTAGTGATCATACTTTATAGCATCCATTATAGAATGGTAAATGATTAAGTTTTTATTTATATTTTACCTGTTATTATCACTTATTTGCTGTTTATATATTCCCTTACGTGTCAGTACTTGCATGCACCATTCTCTTTAGCACATTACATTAAAAAATCATCTTATTTCGGTCCTCTCTACCTGCCTTTACATTTATGCCAGATACACCCTGCATGTACAGTAAGTTTTGATCTTTGAATACGCATAACTCTAAACGCTGCGTTACGTTGTATACGAAATTATAACACATTGTGTTCACCAGTTACGAAAAAGCGGAATTTATAGGAGAGTATAAATTGAGTATGTATGGCTTTCACGAACTTAATTTTTGAAAGAGAAATATTTACTGTACAAAACAGTTTTAGCAGTCTTAAATATCTACTTTAATAAACATTAATTTCCAATAGCATCTTATACAAAAGCATAATAAGACAATACATTGTCACAAGTCTACAAACCTTTGTATTCACGAACTTGTAAGTGACGAACGAACTTGTAAGTGAATTAGATTACAATTGGTTCTAGGAAAAAAAACCCACAGGAAAAAAGCCCACAGGAAAAATGCTCACAGAATAATGCTTCCAGGTATAAATGCTCACAGGAAAAAAGACCCACACAGAAATATGCCCCCATAAAAAAATGCGCACATGGAAAAATGCTCGCTTAGAAATATACTCACACGGAAAGAAGCTCACGTGGATATATGCTCATATGGAAATAAGCCCATTGATAAATAAAATATGTAGAAATATCCTTACATTAATCAATCTTGAACATCGTACATATTCTTGAATTGTTTAAAGAAAAATTATTTGATCATTTGAAAAAATAATTGAACAAATGCTCACATAAACATTTTCAGGGGCAGTATATAAAAAAAAATTAGAACTATAGTAAAATTTTGCATGTACTATAATATTTTATACTACTGCCTCTGTACGACAGTTTTATTCCTTTAACTGCCAACAGTTAATTTTTGTTTTTTTACTCTATTTTTGCATACGTTATACATATATATCTATAGAAATTGGTGTTTGAATGTAGTTATTTAAGTTTGGAGCCAAAAACGTTCTAGAAGACCACAGTTTCTAATCGAAGTGGGAAATCATTATGATGCAGCCTTCGAAAAATCTCCTAAAACCAAAAATTGTTACGAAAGCTTTCATAAGGTACTAATTTCATTATTTAATTGTATCCATACCAGTATGTGGTTTTTATTTGACGGACTCATAAAAGATTTAGCCAGTCAACGTTTATTATTAGCTATTGTAAATACACGGCGTACTGAAGTAAAAAAAAAAAAAGAAAGAAAAAGAAAACATGAAAACTTATATTTGCTAATCGCGAATCACGTAAAAAACTATGATGAAATCGATGATAAAATTAAATATTTACATATATTAACTAATATTCATCACGTTTATGTATTCATAACTTTTTGAAAACTATATATTTGTGATTTATATATAATAAGGTACTGTACGTAATTTAAATAAAATAATTATTTTTGTTTGCTTATACTTCTAAATGTTTATATTATAAAGTGTGTAACTTATATTTACTATTATTTTATTTTTTAACAATTAAAATTGTAATAATTTTTCGCTGTATATTCTGTTTGATTTTTCTTCCTTCTTTCTCTCCTTTTCCTAATTCAAAACGGCCCATTTGTTAATCTTATATAGCAAATGAATTTACACATAAGTTATACAGTTTTTGATATATATATATATATACCATAGATGTTTTTGTAATTTAAATATTTTTTCTATGAACAATTCACGTAGATGTACACTATTCAAATCGATTAATTATTGATTGATTAATCTAAGCATATTTCTACGTATTTTATTTATCAGTTGGCTTATTTCCGTGTGAGCATATATCTGAGCTTTTTGTGAGCACTTTTTCTGTGGGCTTTTTTCCTGCGGGCATTTTTCCGGTCACCATTACAATTAAAACAATTTTATATCGCTTTCAGGTACATAAAATTGCTAAAAAACAAGTGATGTATGCTTTAGTGTTATTTTTATGGAGTACTGGAAATGATCGATATTCGTAACGTGACAGAATTACTAGTTCCTTTCTAATGTTTTAATAGTAGAGTTAACAGTTTTTCCCTACTGATGTTCAACGTGAGAACGTTTCCTCAGAGTGCATACTTCAATCCAATAGGTGAGTTCTTAAGCCATAGCTGTTAATCCTGCGTTACAATTCGATAAAGTAGCAGGACAACCCCAAAGAAAAAGATTACATAGGATAAAATCGGGTGATGTTGGGGTACCTGACAAACAAGCCTTTTCATTCCATCTGTGATGACAAATCCAGCGGCTGGGGACTACATTATTCAACCATTTCAGTAAGCAGTTATGCCAGAGAGAGGGCTCTCCACTTTGTTATCGGATAAAATTATCTCGTTCAGCTTCTTAGTTGAGCAAAAACCATACTTGCAGACTATTCAGAGAGAGGGCGCTCCATTTTGTTACCAGACAAAATTATCTCGTTCAGTTTCTTAGTTGAGGAAAAACCATACTTGCAGACTATTCAGAGAGAGGGCGCTACATTTTGTTACAATAAAAATTTTTCTTGTTCAGTTTGTTGTTAAGGAGAAACCATACTTGCAATCTATTCAGATAAGTAACTTCTGTCACACTTAGTTCAGTAAATACGAAGAGTCTGCAAACTTGTCATCTGAATACTGCACCGGAAGCATAAAATTTTGGTGATCTTGGTTCAATCTGTATGTGCGCACGGAGAGTTTTTGATTTCCGTATATGAATGCTTAGTAATGTCAGACTTTTAACCTGCTCTGTAAGATGAGATATGGATCCTTCATTAAACGAAAGTCGTTCACGAAAGTGGTCCTCTTCATGTTGCAATGTTTGGATTACGAAATCGGTACTTTTAATGTTGTCAGTACTTAAAAGGGTTAACATAAAAACTCATAACATCCTGTATACAGTGCGAATGCATACATAGGCATTTCCGTAAAAACAATCCACAACGCCAGCACTGACACTGCTTTTTCGCGGCTGGCCTTCCGAGCAGATATTTTAGGACTATGCAAGAAATATCTTCTCTCACGCATTTTGTATTCTCTGCAGACATCCGTGATTTGACATCCAGTGGTTTCAAATTACATATACCATCTAGGCACGTGATCATGCTAATGTGCCCATGTGCAGCTTGAGAGCTCCCTTTAACATACTACAAAACGCATGTTATACTTTACCACAGATTCACATTTATAAACTACAGAACAGGTACTGTATACCTGATCTACGAGAAATAATAATAAATTATAACCTGGTATTTTTCGAATATTTAATACCTTTAATTGTTATCCTAAGCCAAATGACTAAGTGAAAAACTCATGTCTGATAAAGGGTTCTGCGGCCAAAATCAAACAGATGCCCTGCAGTCAGGTTTAGAAACTGTTATATGAAAATGAAAGTTAAGTGGCGGCTGTGTTCTCCTTCTGTACACACACTGCTTAGTGTAAAGCTTTCAGTTGAGACGACGCTTCTTTCAGGTTTCTTCTGAGACATATCGCCCCAAGCTTAAACGTAAGCTTTAGTTTATAAAATATCAGATGGTTTCACTAGGTAACAAACTTTATTTTAACTGGGGTGCATAATACTGTTTAACTTTCGCTTAAAATAATCGATTGATTATTGAGTGTAAACATTTGACAGCATTCAGAAATAAATCTTTTGATTGTGATGTAACACTCAAAACGTACAAGCATGTCAATGTACTTGGCTTTGTAAGTCAGTATTTTTCCATCATCTACAAAGCATTATTAAAGAGAAATTTATTGATTTGCTTATATGTTTTTATATTCACTGGCAGAGAATAAGATAAACATTATACAAACAGAATAAAACTCTGTGAACATATAATGCAGTAAGTAAATATCTCATTTGTATAAAACTGATGGAAAGAATTGTGTTTTCCCTCCGTTCGAACAGATGTCAAATAGAATCTACCCTTGGACAGATTTTTCGCATAAAGTATTAATACTGAAGTTACAAGCACAAGTTTGTCGCAGTTCCATAAGAAAGATATCATTACTTCTAATAAAGACTGAACAAAACATATATGGCAATCTCAGACTGTAAAATTCAATCAAATCGTAAGTAGCTATCTAAAAATGTAACAGTACTATCAGAAACTTTCCAATTCATTTGGAAATACAATTTATGCCACCCACAGCATGAAAGTTAATTTATTTGCAAATAAATCAATCGACATTTCGCTTTATTTGAATCAATTAGTTTAGTTTTAAGGTTTTTAAGTGGAATTAAGTGCTAATATATTAGCAGGATTTATAGTTAACCTTTCTTAAACTCGTTAACTAATTAGTTTGACTAACTAATTAAAGTTAGTTTAACTTTTGTTCCACTACAATTTAGGTTAATTTATCTCAAGTTAGAGGTTCTTATGATCCTATTCCTCAGCAGCGTACTACGATTATTTTCCTGAAATTTAACTAAGATACTAAGTAGAAAATTCTTCATGTCATTAAAATTCAGCGAAAGAACGAATCACAGTACTGGTTTTTGAATTTTCATTTCATTTAATGTGTCTGTACCAGACATGATAGTGATGCAATTTTTTTCTCTACAATTCATCACCGTTGCTTTGCAGTTACGTGATTCGAAAAAGCACATTACAGCTGGTCAATATCAGCTAGTTTTCACAGTACTGGAATTTATATAAATTGCTAATTCAGATAAGGCAGGCTTTATTGACTAGAACATTTTCAGATTTCTGGTGTCATAAGAATTACACTGTTTGAATGCTGAACTGCGTGTTTCTAAGGGATAAAACACGAATTTGTATGGATTGTAGCAATTCAGCTCATTTAATTTTGGTTGTAAAATCACAAACTTATTCACCCTTTGATTTTCATAGTACTTGTCTATCTCCTCGAGGGGCGTGGCAATGACATCAGGCGTGAGCTCGTTGAGCAGGTATTTGGGCAAGGGCATTCCGACCGCAAGGTTGGGATCGGGCTCCAACGCCTCTTCATGATCCATCCCCCTCGCCTCGGGGTGACGATCTGAGTGATCATCCCCATCCTCGCCTTTCTGCGCATGCTCCTTACGGGCTTTCTCCTCGGCAATCCGGGCCTCGATGGCCGCAAGAGACTCCCGAGTGAAGGGACGGAATGTAGGAACCACCTCTTCGTCGGACTGATCGTCGGCGGACATCACAGATCTCCTGTTCAAAGAACTTAGTTACTAAGGAATATATCAGAAATAACAATCAATAAAAGTACTCAATGAACATATGCAAAATAATATCCCCTCAAAAATACATCAAATATATATCAAATAATTCCCATTTAAAAGAAATTTAATGTATGCAAAATAATGCCATTTTTTATTGCTTATGTAAACTAACAAATGAATTTTGCAGCTATTGAACAATCAGGCGAAGAAAAAATTAAGAACACCCGGTAAATAACAGTCTAACAAGAATTTGTTACCAAATGAAAAGCATGATGAATATTAACTGTCATCGTGCTAATTTAGAATTCAAACAACAAAAAGCAATGTAATATTTGCAAATTTTTGCAGAACTAGTTTCGATGGTTTTAGCGAACCATCATTCTCGTTGTCAAACAGCAAATAGTTTAATTCCTTCATCATGCTTTATATTTGAAAACAAATTTGCTAAATTAATTGTTAATTTATTTTGAAAAATATATAAATTTCTTTTTTTTTTTTTTTTTTTTTTTTTTTTTTTTTTGTATTTTGAAAATAGCGTAATTAAAAATTATCTTAAGCTAAAATTTATAAAACATTTCAGAGGAGTTTTAAAGTAACTGTTTAAAAAACTTCAGTTAAAAGTAATGATCAATTTGTAACTTTAAGCACTTATTATACATTGTGCTTTAGGTAAGTTTGCACAAACTTCTGAGAGCGACAGATTGCAAAAACGTAAATCAGAAACATATAGTGATGTGGGTTCGGAAGTGTAATGCTCATGCGATAGATAGCGTTATTCGGCCGTGAGACTGCTTATATATTCCTTCATGATAATTCTTTGTAACTGTCCACTTGGAAGGTCATCGGAGTTAATATGCTTTGATTAGGATCTGTTGACAACTGATCTTTTTTTTATATCTGATTCCAGCTCCTCATGTTACAAAAAGTATAATACGAGACGTGCAGAAGTTATAGCATTTCTAAATTAAATAACATATGTATAATAGCATAGCACTGAAAAAGAGGAAAGAAAATATACAAAAAATAAATTACAGAAAAAAATTAAGTGATAAATAAAGAACTTAATAATCTTAATTGCGAATGAAATTCTGAAAGCAGAAACTGTCTCTTTAGTCTGTAAAAGTTCAGTAAAAATTTGTGGCCAAGATGCAAGTGCTTTTAAAGTGGGATAACGAACACATTCATGAAGAATGTGATTAACATCTTCATCGCCGCTTCCGAAGCTGCACGAAGCACTTGAGGCTAGTTCAGATCGCTTTAAATAGCTTGTAAAATAACCATGTCTTGATAAAAATTGAGTTAATTTAAAATATACTGAAATTTGATCAATTTTTATTCTGTGAAAAACTGTCGGAAAAATCTTTTGGTCCATTGAGCTTTCGGTAACGAAAGGTATTCTCTGTTCCAAATATAAATAGCATCATTTCTATAAAATCGCTTTCACTGCAAAACTAGAACACGGAAATTTAAGTCAATGTGATGTTTCGTGGCTAATTCTGCTAGAATATTCCAGAATTCCACAGTGTCCACGAACATAAGTAAAATGAATGTCGATACCAAGGTTTTGCAAGATCTTACTAATAACATGAATTTCAGCAGCAAGTTTCTCTGAAACACTAATTTTCTGTAGTAATTGCAGCAAAGAGGAAGAATCACTACATATTAAAACATGCACTGATCTCAAAACTCCAGAAGAATTTGGAATCCGTTTTGCAACATTTTGCATCCATTTTGCATAGCGACTCAGCCTGAAAAAACAGAGCGCTCATCACCAATTCTATATTGTGTGAAGTATCTTCCTTGTTAATCTTCATAAAGAACAAAAGCAAGCCCAATCATGCCATTAATTCTACTTCCGTCAGTAAAATAAATTAGTTGGTACTTTTCAATAGAGCACTGGAACTAGAGTACTAGGTTCAGTAGAGTATGATTCAGTGACTTCAAGAATATCATCCGAATAGACCACAACTGGAATAAAGTTCCTGCTAAAAGGATGCGGCAAGAAAGAAACAGTTAAGAAAAGAGATTGCCAAGAAAAGATTGTTAAGAAAATCTGAGGAGGAGTGCCTAAAAAGGCTTTCCTCCATCGCAATATTACTCAAAATCTAAATATCAATGGGTGGCATACCAGCGATAATAAACAGAGCCTCGTAACTAATAGCTACGAATAATTCTTAAAAGAAATCTTATTTGAACTTTCCATAGAAACTTGCAGTTAACTTTCTTCCGTAAAGAACTTCCCCCTAACCCTTGATGCGTAGAAAATAAGCGTACTCCTTGCCTCTATATCGATTTTAGAACGTCTGGTTTGACTGCATAAATGATTTCAGAAATTTTAAGTAACTCTGGTAATATCTTTTCGCACTTGCTTTAGAGATTGGAAATGTGATTCCACTGAAACTTATTACCCGTGATAATTCTGTAGAGACATTAGGTTACTTCGAAGCAGGAATGCCCTCGACGGGACTCGAAGCTCAAACCTCTTGAATACGCGCCGAGCGAGCTGACCATTACACCACGAAGGCATGCTAAGAAGGCGGGAGAAATACCTTATGTACTTCTCCTTTTAAAAGGCGACTGGGAATTAGGGGACCCGATCGCCAAATCCGATCGATGGAGAATCATAATCAAATACCTATTTTAGTTCGGGCACCACTAGAGTGCATTGACTAGCAGAGTCATTAGAATTTTTTTGAAGCAGGACACATGAAAAATCAGCAATGCCCTCGCCGGGACTCGAACCTCGGACCTCTCGAATACGCCCCTAGTAGGCTGACCATTAAACCAGGAAGGCAGGATAAATACATTATAACTCCTAAGCGCTTTATTTGTGTAATTTCCTCTGTAGGAAAGTACACAAGTGATAAATTTATTCTACCATCCTCATTCATCCTCTTACGTTCTATCATAACTTTGCTTTACAGAGGATTAAATTTCAATTTAGAAAATTTAGACCACTGAAAAGCAGAATCAAGTAAATATTCAGACAAAGAAACAAGCATTAGCGAAACTATTGCAATGAACAATTAAAAGCAAATCATCCGAAAAAGCAATTTTAAAACAATTTCGAAAAGCAGATAATTCACACGGAAGATCATTAATTATAATATTCCGACACCCCCCCCCCTAAAAAAAATCCAGTGGTTGATCCTTCTCGACAATCCATTTCCAAAATATATTCTTTCGTAATATTATCCAGAAAAAGTTCTACAGTGTGATTATAAAAAAAATAAATAAATAAATAAATAAATAAATAATTAAAAAAAATAATAATAAATAAAATAATATAATAATAAATAAATAAATAAATAAAAATCCTTGATCAAGTAGAAGATGTTTCTAGATACACTAGCACGTTTCAATAAATTTACCATTCCTGGCTACCAAGGGTTCATCAAAATCCCTTTTTTGTCTAGAGATATTGAAATTGTGACTAAGTTTGTTCTATTTACCTTGCTTTACTATGTCACACTGGCGAAGAGACGCATCTTTAGCTGAACACTGAGGCATGAAGCAGTATTTATTTTCATCCAAAATATTTTTGCATTTTAAGTTCCAGTTCAGTTTGTTTATACAACGCTTTTTGAAACACTAACTCAAGCTTGGCAGAAGGCTGTAATTTTTGTGGTCCGTTCAGTTTTGCCATCGCTTGCTTTGAAATCGTTAAGTTTGTTAATCAAAGATTCGTTAAAGTTTTACAAAATATAAAATAAAGCATATTCCAAATTTAGGCTTCCAGATGGCCATGTACGAGTGAAGGACTACGTTATTCAAAATTTGATGTCTCTAGGTCCCGTTGTTTTTCACAGTGCGAGAAACACACATACATTCATGCAGATTTTTCATTGTTTAATTTCTTTAAATCTAATGCAGGACTCTAATATTTTGTGGCAAGAATTTCAAAAGTGAAACGTAGTTTATAGTGAACCAACGCAAAATGCCAAAACGAAGTTAATAGCCCTTCTGGGCAAACTGTCCCTTTTTGCTAAAAACATTCTGAGTGTCGGGAAAAAATTATGCAGCACATGTAACTCAAAGGAAAAATTGCAGATGCTACAATGCAAACTTTTTCATACAATCAAATCTTCGTACATCAGCAACTCGATACATATACAATTTTATGCTTCTGTAATAGAAAATGCTTTCTTTCTTCACTCATGCACAATAAAAAAAAAAAAAAAAAAAAAAAAGAAAAAGAAAAAAGACTATGAAAACTGAAATTTCTTGGCAATAAAAGACGATTGTGCCATGATCTCAGATACGTATAATGTAAATCGTAATGTAAATAATGTAAATCGAACTATTAATTAAACTGAGTAACTATATTAACAAATTGATCCACTGAATTTAAACTACATTACATAATGTAAATTGACAAACGTATTTCCACCTTTTAGAGGCATATTTTAGTTTTTCATCACTCAAAAGACTGAAGACACACAAATATATGGCACGAATCCAAACTCTTGAAAAAAGAACTAATAAAAAATCTAAATTTAACACATGAATGCTATATCCTCATTCTGACATAAAATTTAAGGTATGTAACTACATTCCTAACTGATAAGCTGTCTCTTATTCATATATAAAATGAACTGGACAAGTCAAATTTAAGTTCTTCTTAGACTGAGGCATTCATTTCAAGCATCCAATTATGAACTCAATCTCTATTTCACAATACTGCACATAGATGGCAGCACCACGTGTATTTCTTTCTAGTAAGTTAGGTGACCAAATTCCAATGCATGCAACTACTGAATTTTACTTTTCTACATTTCAAAGCTCTCATTTGCCTACAGCATGTGCTACCGGGGTGAACAGCCTACAGCTCTCGACTGAGTGAAATGTCTATAAATACATTATCCTTCCGCACAGGCTGCTCCTGGAGGGTATGCAGCTAAAACAACGTACGCAGGCGCCAAATTCGGTCGGTATTGAAGTTGAAGTTATCTGTAAAGTTAAAGTTATGTGGAATGTAAAGTTGAAGTT